CCCCAACAATAGGGGTAATATGGCCTCTTGGGACCCATGTGAAGAGGTCCCAAATACTCTTTTCCCATTTACTTTTCTGCACGGATCTTGTTGGGAATAAATAAAGGAGACATCAATCAATATTTCCTGAATATTGGCAAAGTTTAATTTCACCTCGACGTGACGCTATAACCTGATTTCATTTTTGGTGTCCATATTCCCCCAAGTTACCCTAAGGGGGAAAAAAAAGTAATGTGGAGAAACTCGTGTAGGAGAAGCGGAGACTCCCGGTACCCTGGAGAAGCGTGTTCACGTCCATGCCGTTCTACGCCATCCTCGTGGCCCACGTGTGCAACAACTGGGGGTATAACATGCTCCTCGTGGAACTGCCCACTTTCATGAAGCAGGTCCTCGGCTTCGACCTCAAATCGGTGAGGAGGCTTCACAGGCGCGCCTTCCGGGATCTCCGGGAACTGGGAGAAGTGATTTACGTTTTCTTTCTTGCAGAATTCTCTTCTCTCGGCTCTTCCGTACCTCATCGTGTGGTTGGGCACCATCGCCTTCGGGTGCCTGGTTGCATCCCTGAGAGACCGACGGATCGTGTCCGCGACTGTCTTACAGAAAATTGCCACTGGTCTCGGTATGAATCACAAAGAAGTCGTTAGATAATTAATTGATAAGAATAATAATAGTAATAAGTGCTTACCACGTCCATTACTACCCACCGTTATTACATAATATAGAATAATAGTGAATAATAATTGTGAAATACTAGAGAAAAATGAGGCGGTTGAAAAAAGTTCAGAAATTGTAAAGAAAGAAAGAATATTGGAGACAAATCGTCAGGAAAGAAGAAGTCACCGTTTTCTTTCATCGGTCGTCGGTAGAACCAATCGTCGGTGGAATAACATATGCAACGAATGAGTGAGGACCCCAAAATCATTTTTTTGTTTAGCCTCCCTGGGGCCAGCGATCTGTCTGGCACTGGTGACGTACACCGGGTGCAACCGCGCGGCGGCGGTGGCCCTCCTCGCCGTCGGCGTCGGGTGCAACGCCGGGTCGCCCAGCGGCTTCGTCTCCAATC